GGGGGGGGGGGGTGCGTGTCATTGTTTCTTTGTCCCCCCACCACTCTACCTCTCATTCTACGCACTCCATGCTACTGCTCTAAAGAAATTGTCTGTCATTCCTCCCTCTCAAGCAACAGTCCCTCAACTGCCGATATTTCGCTTCTTTCCTTCTCTAGTCGTACATGTCCAGGCGTCGCACGGGCGGCGAAACACCCTGCGAGGCGTCGTACTCCTGTTCCTGTTCCTGCCGTGGCAGCGGCGTACCATCTGCCCTCATGGTGTTCATCGGCAATGTGACCTTCGGCGCTGGAATCGCCCGTGCCAACGAGGCGGGCTGTATCAGGTGGTCGGCAATGTAACTACTCACAACGACCACAACGATTGTCGAAAAGACACCGATGAAAACGTACAATCCATGTAGCTTTCCGCCCTCCAGCGGCACGTGGAGGCCATTCCCTGCGGCCCGTGCCAAAGTAGGCACGGCAAGCCCGAGCACATGGGAGAGTGGTGGCGGTGTGGCGGTGGTCGCCGCACGGTAGCTCACCTCCGCCACCACGCAGACGGCCGCTGTGCACATCAGCGCGACCTGGTTCCGCTCCCCGCCTACCACACATCCGTACACTTCATCCNCCGCCACCACGCAGACGGCCGCTGTGCACATCAGCGCGACCTGGTTCCGCTCCCCGCCTACCACACATCCGTACACTTCATCCGTCTTCTTGAACTCGCAGATAACGTCTTTCGGCACCTGCCTGCAGAGCTCCTCAGCGTCGAAGCCATACATCCCGAGCGACCGTGAGACGGCGCCGGGCATGCTAGAGCCCTCTATGCTGACGGCCCCCACGTTCAACGCGTCGCCAATTGCAGTGAGCCGACCGCCCAAGAAGAGTTCGCTGGCGAGCTTCGCAACGTCCATTGCGGTGGTGTAGTACATGTAGTCCGATGCGTACGCGGCGTGAATGGTGGCGGACGGCGACACCGAGGAGCCATCGCTCGCGATGTCCTGCACCGCCCGCCCAGAGAGCGCAGCCTCGGCGCCAGCGGGGTACGTCGGCGACGGCGCCGCACCGGTCACGTCGACGAGGAACGTCCCGCCAAGCCCGAGGAACGAAAAGAATGTGTTCTGCACGAACGCTGCGACCGTCGTGGGCCGATCCCCGGCGGCGAGCACCTTGCCGAGGATGTACGTCACCAGTGCGGTGTTGAGGCGTGAGTAGAAGTAGCTGCTGGAGAGGCCGGGCTGCTTCGTGTTCCACACGCCGCCAAGCACAGCGTTGGCGAAGATGCCCTCGACGAAACTCTCAAGATCCGTCGCGGGGCCGGGCGCCTGTACGGCGCCGCTGGGAAAGCCCGCCTCGGTCAGCGAGGAGATATGCAGCAGCAGTGTGTCGAGCGACACCACGGCGGTAGGAAACAGCGGGTTCTGAAAGGCGACCGACTCGTTGTACGGCGGCGGCAGGAACCGGATCGGGATCGCCTGCGCACGCGAGAATGGCAATGCGCTTGTGTTCTCCAAGTGCGCCACCATCATGTCGAGGAACAACTCCGAGAGAGTGTTGGTGCGGAAGCTTGCGCTGAGCGTCATGGGAACAACTGTGCCTATCACTGTTTGGTTCCCGAGCGCTGTCGTCATGCCCGCATCAACGCCACCAATCAAACTCTCACCCCTTTTCCTGTCCTTGCCTTTGCGGCGCCACGTGACGATGGCCCCGGCGAATACGTCGGCGTTTCCCTCGCGGAGTTCATCAAAATATGCGATAATGTCTTCCAGATCGTTTGCTGACACCACCGGCAGCAGCAGCAGCAGCAGCAGCAGCAGCAGCAACGATTTGGCAAACACGTACAGGCGGAATGGCGCCATGCAGCTGTGTTTCTTTCTCCTCCTTCTTCTCTACAGACGCTACGGACACACACACACACAGAAATATAGACACACGGACGACTATGCTATCCCCCAGGGGCTCCGGCACTCCCTCACCCACAGAGAACCAACGCGAGGCTTTCCACTAGCGGTGCACCGTCAAGCTGGACAGTTGCTGAGAAGAGACAAACTCTAAATCGATCTCTCTTCTCTCTCTCTCTCTATGTGTGTGTGTGTGCGCGCCACAACGGCAATATACATATTTATAGAAAGTCGGAGAAGGCGAAAAACGAGGGAAGGGACAACAAGACCATCACAACAGGCAGCGAAGCTCAAGGGGTGAGAAGGGAATGACCACACGACAGCCGCTGCACTCTGTTTTTTGCTTACGCACCGCTGCCTCCACTGCCGTACCGTTGTGCTGCTCCCACTCCTGACAGACGTGGCGGTGGCAGCTGCACGGAGAAGGGCACACACACACACACACCCGCAGACGCACATCAGCTGTGGTCATGATGGTGAGACACCAGAGACTGCCGCCACCGAGGCACGAGACGAGGAGAAATGTGGGGAACGCAAAGGCGCAGAACGAGAATGCGCCACATGCTTCATCTCACATCGATCACGTCATCCCGCTGCCGCAGTGCATTTGGGGGGTGGGTGGGGGAGCCTGCCGCTGCGCGTATCATACCATTCAAAACCCCAAAGAAAAAAAGCAAAAAATGATAAGACACGCTACGCCGAATCAGCGGCTGCAAGCTCCAACGACCACCACAATCTCAATATCGCGTCCCGCAGCGAGGACTCCCAATGTGAGCGCGGGTGCAGCTGATCCATGTGCACGACTCTGGCGGCGCGCAGCCACGCGGGTGGTGCGTGCGGCTCAGTCCGCTGCCTCTTAGCGGAGCCGT